CCTGCTGGGCTCAGGCAATCCTTCCGCCTCAGACTTCCAAGTAGCTGGAACTACAGGTGCGTGCCACCACGCCCAGCTAATTTTTTGATTTATTGTAGAGATGAGGTCTCGCCAATTCTCCATGCTGCATGCTGAGACTTTTATGGCAAACCAGACAAAGTTCCTGCTCTCAAGGAAAGTATAATAAAAGGAGGAAATAGATACAAATTGATATCACTTTCAGATGGTTCCAATCCACAAGCTTCTTAGGAAAAAGGTGGTCTTCTTATAATTTCTATGGCTTCAGTTAGCAAAGCGGTGTTCTTTGACATGCCCTTACCTGCCCCTTCGTGATGTCGTGGAGCAGAGCAGGCCACCACCCAATCAACCACAATCAGCCAGCAGCCATCTGCCTTGCTAAGCTATGGTGTGGCTATGTGATCTTAGAGCTACGGCCAGGCCATGTTTCTTAAGCTTTGGCCCCCTCTCCTACGGTGGGGAGGCGAATCTCCTTTCTCTCTCCCTTTCAAATTTACTTTCTAAATAAACTATATTTTCGAATCTATAAATAAACAAATACATACAAACATACATACATACATAAAAATAAAAGACTGAATAGAGTTGAGCACGGTGGCTCATGCCTGTAATCCCAACATTTTGGGAAGCGGAAGCGAGAGGATTGCCTGAGGTCAGGGGTTCCAGACCAGTCTGGACAACTTGGCAAGACCTCATCTCTACAATAAATCAAAAAATTAGCTGGATGTGGTGGTGCATGCCTGTGCTTCTAACTACTTGGAAGGATGAGGCGGAAGGATCTCCTGAGCCCAGCAGGTCGAGGCTGCGGTGGCCATGAGCGTGCCACTGCACTCCAGCCTAGGAGACGGAGTGAGACTGACGGAAAAAATAAATAAATAGATGAAAGGCTGAATAGTGGCTCTGTAGTAGGACTATCTAAGCAAATTACTCAGAGCTATTGAAATGATTAGATAAATTAAAGGCTTAGATTTCCTCCTGGAAATTATTAAGGCTCAATACAGCTTAGCTATTATTATTGGTAATATCAAAGTTAATAATTAGCTTTTGGTTGGTGGCCTGGGAACTTTGATTAAATTTTTTTGTAGAAAAATACCTCCTAAACTGGGTGTGGATTCTCACACCAGTAATTCCAGCACTTTGGGTGGCCAAGGTGGAAGAATGAATTGCAGTGAGACCTCATCTCTACAAAAAAGTCAAAAACTCTACCGGGCGCGTTGGCATGTGCCTATAGTCCCAGCTACTTGGGAGGCTGAAGCAGAAGGATCCCTTGAGACCAGAAGTTCAAGTCTGCAGTGAGCTGTGATCACGCCACTGCTCTTCAGTTTGGTCTACAGAGTGAGAGTCCTACTTGGGAAAGAAAAGGAAAAAAAAATACCTCCTGATTTCTAAATCTCTCTGAGTTCCTCTCATACCACAATTTAATGACCTTCACAGGTCTGCTCCCCACCCCCAACTGGACTCTAGCTCCAATAGGCCCGTGCAAATCACTTCTGTTGCCCTAAGGCTCAACCCAATGATTGTTGAATGGGCAACAAAATGAACACACTCAAAATAGAACTTCAGGATCCATGTACACAGTTTTTCCTTCAGAGGTAGAAACAGGAAGCCTGTGCTGTAACAAGAACATTGAAACTTTCCTCCTGCAATTGTGTATCTTATCCCAAAACTACCAGGAAAAAACCCAGCAGCCTTAATTTCCAAGTGTTTCAAATAATTCTCAGTTTAGAACTTTACATCCCCCTCCCATCTCATAATAGTAACCTTTTCTTTTTTCTTTTCCTTTTTTTTTTGAGTAGGAGTCTCACTCTATCACCCAGGCTGGAGTGCAGTGACACGCTCACGGTCACTGCAGCCTCGACCTGCTGGTCTCAGGCAATCCTTCCGCCTCAGCCTTCTGAGTAGTGGAACTACAGGTGTGTGTCACCACACCTGGCTAATTTTTGGATTTTTATGGTAGAGATGAAATCTCGCCAAGTTGCCCAGGCTGGTCTCAAACCCTAATCAGATCTCGAATCCTAATCAGATTTTACATCCAGTCTTCAGCCTGAGGTAAGCGTGAAGAATTGCAAAGATAAGTTCAAAGACCAGTATAATAAGATATCTTAGGGATGGGATCAAAGTCTAAACATGAAATTTACTTATTTTTCATATACACTTCATTCTATAGCCTAAAGGTAATTTTATACAATATGTTTAATAATTTTGTGCATAAAACAGTTTTAACTGCATTTTGACTGCTACCTATCATGCATTCAGGTGAGAACTTTGCCTACTTGTGGCATCATGGTGGTGCTCAATAACTTTTGGATTTTGGAACATTTTGGATTTCAGATTTTCACATTAGGGATGCCCAACTTGTATTTCTACTCTAAGGCTTTTTAGGGTTTCCAGATAACAGAATCTCTCCGGGGAATCTCTAAGAAGGCAGAATCTTAGAGGGGCATCTTAATTTTCAAAAACTGATTTTTTTTTTGGAGTTGGAATCTCACTCTGTTGCCTAAACTGGAGTACAGTGGCACACTCACAGCCACCACAGCCTCAACCTGTTGGGCTCAGGCAATCCTTCTGCCTCAGCCTTCCAAGTAGCTGGAACTACAGGCACGCGCCACCACATCCAGCAAATTTTTATTTATTTATTGTAGAGATGAGGTCTTGCCAAGTTGCCCAGGCTAGTCTCAAACCCACAGGCTCAGGCAATCCTCTTACCTCAGCTTCCCAAAATGCTGGAATTACAGGCGTGAGCCACCATGTCT